ACATTACAAAGATCACTTGGTTAGTTTTCAAACTGGCACTAATTCAAATTGGCTAGATGATCACTTTCATACCGTCATTGCATAGATATATTTGTTGCATAAGGATTTCATATAACTGATTTTGATCACATTTGCATGGTTGTTTTCGTTGGTGAAAAAAACTCACACATATCAATTTGGACTCATATAAGCTTGGGGTCCAAGCTTCACGTAACGGAGGGAAGTTGTCATGGTGACTGATTTACGACACCCATTGTCTAAAGAACATTTGATTGCAAAGGCTCATTACCCTGGAGCCATGACATCTATATGCCTTGAAACATTTAATTGCTGTTATTTATTAGATGCTAATCCTATTTGTTAATCCCCATTTTTGTGTACATCAACCGTCTGCCATCCTGAACAGGATGTGCAAGTATGTCACTGATGATTTACTGTTTACATTTATATTTATTACTTACTACATGTCAGGTGACCTTGGCTATATAAGCCTTGGTCCAGAGAGAAAGAGAGAAGGGGTTTGACTCTCTTACCAAGCAGACCTCTCTCCCACAGCCCAGAGTGTGTACCGACTCTCTGTGGCACCCTCAGTTATTATCTAAGTATATTGTAAATTGTTAATTGTTCTTGTAAATAAAATTGTGATTAGTCTCCTGTGACTCTGGCTCTTTGCTGACTAATTCCCCAAGAAAACCAGCACGTCATTTGGAAGGTATTGTTCACCCAGAACAGTTCCATGATAGTATCCTTAGCAAGTTACGCTGCGGCACATTACCCTTACAAGTTGAATTTGGTAGATTTGCTAAACCTATCACACCTTTACAGGATAGAATTTGTAAATTATGTAATAATAACGCTGTAGAAGATGAGATACATTTTCACATTAATTGTCCATTTTATTCTGACTTAAGATATGATTTATGTTTGAGAATTATAAAGTCTGATCCTACATTTATTTCATGCTCTTCTGTGGACCAGACAGGGTTCTTAATGAATTGTAACACGTATGTAAAACCTCTTGCCGCACTTATTTAAAAAATGTTTGCACGTAGGCAACATTTCATAATTTAAAGTTATAAAACTTTTTTATTGGGTTTCGCAATCCTGTAAGTTGTATTTCTATTATATAAATAATGTTTCTCATTGTTCATTGTGTCTCATAGGCCTTTAATTGCCTGATGTTGTACCGCAAAAGAAACGTCACTATGGATAGATATATGAGAAACCTTATTTGTCCAAACACTGTAAACATACTTTGAGAAATATTGTAAAGATGAAACTTAGCAAAACTGATCATCAACGATGAAATTAATGTGTCAAATGTTCTTAAAGTGAAACACAACACTAGTCTCTGAGAAAATGGCATCACAAGTCAGTATCTCGTGTGTCCGCCATGTGCATTGATGACTGACGTGCGACGTCGATACATGGAATGGTTTAGGCGGTTGATGAGCCCACACTCTGAGGAACGCCTGACGCAGTTCATCTGCAGTTGTCGGCCTTGGTCGGACGTTATTCGGCCGTCTTTGAATCTCGTCCCACAGGTGCTCAGTGGGATTTAAATCGGGACTGAGGGCAGGCCACTGCATGGTTCTGATGCCATTCTGTTGGCGGAAGTCTCTTGTTGCTCTCGTAGTGTGGGCACGGGCGTTATCGTGCTGAAACTCGTGGTTGCGGCGCCGCGCCAAATGAGGTATGGCGTGTGGTCACTTAATCAATGTACCGAGCTGCTGTGATACCATTGCCTCTCCCTGGACCGATGTTCTGGAAGACTACAGGGCCGACCCTCTGTGCAAGACCAATTCAACCCTACACCATGATGCTCGGACCACCCAACGAGTCTCTCTCAACAACACAAGCATCCGAATAACGTTCCCCACGGCGTCGACTACGCTCTCTCTCTCTCTCTGACATCTGCTGTTGAGATACAATAAAGGCTCTCGTCGGAGAAGAGGACTCTTCTCCACTGTTGGTGGCGCCAATGCTGGTGCTGTGTTTCCCACTGAAGACGGTTCCGACGATGACGTGGTGTCAGAATGGGTCCTCGGTGTGGCCTGTCACAGTGGAGATGTCCGCACTAATGTGTCGCTTGTGAGTCCCCATGGTCCGTCGAGCAGTTACCGCTGCAGTAACAAAGCGATCTTGAAGATGCTGTCGCACAATCCTGAGGTCGTTTGGTGACCCTTGGTCTTCAAATACGTGGTCGGTCATCTGTAGTGTTGGTGGTCTGGCACCGTTGCTGGAGCCTGTATAAGGTCCTTACGTGGACTAGAAATGCATTGGCTACTTGCCGGGCGGTTTGTCCAGCTTACAATCGTCCAATGGCTTGGTGTCGCTGATTTCTTGTCAAACTTGGTGTTAGCATTTCAATAACGAATGAATGTTATCCGATCTGGGTGGATTTGTATAGGGCGAGAAATGGGGGAACGCATGTGCATTTGAATTAGCACGGAACTCACGTGCATTGGGTTACCATGGCCGTTGCCGTGATGCGTTTGGGCGATAGGTTTTATTGTCATCTGCTTTGATTTTGTATCATCAAATTTAATTTTTCCGGACGAGGTAATGTTAAATTTTAGAAACTTTGACAAAAATTACCCAGATAGATGAACGACAACTTTTCATGCATTGTTACTTGGGATGACGTTTCTTTTGCGGTTCAGTATATGTTATGCAAGTTTGTATGTCTAATATTATGTACACATACAACATGTGACATATGAATGAAATATTTTCTTCTTCTGTTGTGACGTCATAGATCCATGACTCGAGATGCACCACTGGTCTCGTGCAGGACTAGCGAGTAAAGTTTGAAGTCACGTGCATCATATCGTGATAATAATAGTCATTCTGTGGTGACACTTGACTGATAGTTTTGTCATTAATTGGTACACACTGGCAACATCTCTTCTTAACGTAGATACATGTCTACACATGTCTATGGTTCGCGTTTCTTTTTGTGGTGAGTATATATAATATATCCAGGAAATATCTATTGTGTATTAGATGATGATCGTGCCCCGAAATGTTATAACGTTAGATCTCAAGGCGAAACATTAAAGTATTCGTTATACAAGAGGGATGGGGGACACTGGCTGGGTTACACCAAACATGCGTTTTGAAATCTGTCACCGATATAGCCGCATACATAATTGTATATAAGGTAATGGTGAAACAAATTGACTTTGCATTTACTGGAGACTGACTGTACTCAACAGCTTTCCTGTGTACATGCGGTGTCCAAGAATACGATGATGCATAGACACTACAAAGTTGTTTGACTTATTGGAGTTGCTGATTGACGAATAACAAGTATTCGTCATCCTATGCGTATGCTTCCATACAACAAATTTAAACATACTACTTGTGTAAAACATTATGAAGCTGAGAACTGAGGCGACAAGTATTACTCGCATTCACACACGGAAGCCAGCTGTAGTAGATATAAACTGGGCGGCAAAAGAAAGTATAGGTCGAGTTCCATGGTCGATACAAAAATATCAAGGTTTTGTTGTTAATTATAAAATAATCTAGGAAGGGGTAACAAATGATTGATCAACCACAGTTTGAATGAAATTGTGCAATCACAGGTAATGTAAGCTCAACGTAAACAATGGTGGGGTAAGAAATTTCATTTTCAAAAGTTGTCTGAAATGTCACTAAAAAATTGCCAGACACACTACAAGTTCATTGTCGACACAGTTGCCTTCAATAGCGTGTATGACCTCCAGCTGCCTCAATGCATGCTGTGATAAGCCGCCTCATCGATGACGTCAGTCTTCTGATGACATGGACTGGAATCTGTTGCCACTCGTCTATCAGGGCCTGCTGCAATTCTTGTCTGTTGACTGGAGGCTGATGGCGAGCTCTAATCTGTCTGTCAAGATGGTCCCACAGTTGTTCGATAGGATTCATATTCAACCTGGTGTTGGTTTTGTAAGAACGGAAGCACAACTGGATGCTTTACTTGATCTCTGTACTGCATAGCGTTCAGGTTTCCCTGTATAATCACTAAATCAGTCGTCTGATCTCCACAAATACCGCCCCACACCATGACACCTCCCCCGCCGAATGGATGGACTCTCGAATACACGCCGGAGCCAAATGTTCCCCTCGACGATAAACTCGTTCTCTGACGTCATTTCGAAACAAGTTAAACCGACTTTCATCAGTAAACAGCACTCGACGCCAATTTCTCACTTGCCAGCGTCGAACCTGCCTCGCCCATCGCAGTCTTAGGCGTCGATGTTGAGCAGTCAGTACCATTCCTCGGAAAGGACGATACGCTCGGATTCCAGCAGCACAAAGTCATCGTAGTACTGTACGTTGGCTTATGGGGTGTCCCAACGCTGTTGCTGCCGTCGCCGTCGCCGTCGCCGTCGCCGTTACGAATCTGTTCGTAGGTGAATGAGCCGTATCTGACCGTCTTCCAGTGGTGTTGTCATTCGGGGTCGACCGGTTCTAGACCTGTCCTGTGTCCTCCCTGTCTGCCTGTACCGTTGAATCAGCCTGGCTACTGTCAGTGGTGTATAACCAAACCTTCTGGCAATTTGGACCTGTGTTGCCCCCATTTCGGCCATACCGATGGCTCTCTCTGCTCCTGTGACAGTCGTGGCATTTCTTTTGTGTGCGTTCATCACGTGTGGTTATACCCAGCAGACGAACGCATTTATACAGCTAACATGCACGTGCAGTTTATGCCATAGGCGGGAAATCTGTTTCACCATTTTTTTGTCACCGCACGAGCGCCGTCAAAGGTGGCGCGTTCGGGTGGTGTTTTTTGGTACCTGTTCCTGGGCAGTCATATTCCCAATACCCACTTTCCACTAGTTATCGCTGTTTTTAGGATAATTACAAATTGCCAACCTATACTTTCTTTTGCCGCTTAGTTTAGTAATGAATGAAACTTCGAACGTGACACACTTTCTGCGTAGTTCCCATGTAGTATCTGCGGAGGCTTTTGTCATTGAGGTGTAACAAAAGAACAAATGCCCACGATATATAATTTATAAACAATGTTTTAATCAATTTTTTTAATACATTTATATCAACAATAAGCTAATTAAGTCCATATCTGCGCGCCATGGATATGCTACAAACAGGATTGGAGCAAAACTAAGTTGCCAGACATTTAAATGTCCCTCGAAACACAATACCATCTCTTTGGAGACATTACCTCTAGCAGGACTTTCCACCGAATACCTTAGCGCAGAGTTAGTATTGTTGGTCCTTTTACAGTGACAGTGTCAATATGAATGCCGCGGGTGACTTACACCTCATACATTATTTATCCCCAATAGTAATGATACTCAAAACAGGTGATGGTGGTCAGTACACACGTATTAATTGAGACCATAAATCCAATGATTTATATGAGCATCGATCAATGCAACTGGGATACGATGACATGCATCAACAAAGTCAGCGAGTCTGACCACCCGATCCCATCAGTCACCTCTTACCACAAGCATAGGTGGCTGAAGACCGGGATCTTCAGTGGTCAGTTCTAGTGTAAGCTGTATGGGGTCTGGTGTTAGGCAGCAGCATAAGGTAGGTTGGGAGTGTAAGCATGTAGTAGCCTGGAATAATACCAGTTATGAAGTGCTAGCCGGATGAGTTTACCACCCATGCAGTTTACACGAAAACCTCACTCAGACACTATACTGACACTTGGCACAACCAGTCATTGTTTTATACCTTTTATACAGAGGGAAACATGTCAGTCCAAAGGGATGAAAGATGGATTGGGTGGTCAGGCTCTGTGACAGAATTGAGTGTTGCTCATTATAACATCACTGGTTTGTCTGGTCAAGACTTCCATCATATCTATAGGTTCCCATTAAACTTCTGTAATATTTCCGAGTGCAGCGTTAAACAACAAGTAAACAAATAAATCCTCAAAAGGCAAATCAGAAACTTTAGTTACCCTGGACACAGTACATAAACTATTTGCATTTGTTTCTTCAGTTGACTTTTCAAGAGTGTTAACAGATTAACATACTCTATTTGCTTCTGTAAACCTCATCATGATCAACATTTTAAAAAATATATCATTTTCTTGTTTGTTGCATTCTACTTTGGTTCAATATTTGGGGAAATCAGTGCCACACCAGTCTGCTAGCAGCGTTCCAATTGGTGGATATCCAATCGTGTCGGGTGTTGTGTGAACGTGGGTCAGTGGAGCCTCAGTATCTTGTATGGTGAACACCCCCACCACGTTCCACTGACCAAACCACAATACCTCCCCCTTTCCTATTTGAGGCCGCCTTTTAAACATGCATTTCAGTTGCTGTGTGGTACATTGAAGGTAGATAAATAAACTCTTCACATTCTGAAACACTGAATCCTACTTTAGAGTTTATTTTGATTGCAGTTTATTTTTGGTAGGAAGAACCTATTTTTCACACAGAACTTTATATTCAGGAAGTGCTGGAGTTTGCATATGAGCTATTCATAATTTTCATGTTTTTTAATTCACTTTTGCTGAAATCTGTATTGTGGTGAAAGAATATGTTGAACATTGACTGAAACTGATGGTTGTTGATCACTATGTATACTCTTCATCACTGGAGATGGAGTTTAATATGGCTTCAAATGATTTAGTTGTACATACATAAATCAAATGTCAATGTTAACACCAACTAGTTCAGTTGGAAAATATGTTTTCAACATAAAAAACATGTTATATCAAATGCTAATTGACTGCAGACTACTTTCTTTCATCTTTCCCTGGCATGCTACGTTCTGTTCACAAAATGCACCACTCCTTTTCCAAAAAGCTTGCACAAGGTCAAGATTTGTATCAGGATTGACATTCAGTCATTGCGTCTGTACCAGTGACAGAGGACTAGCTTCCTGGTTAGAGTGAGTGAGTTGGGTTTAACATTGTCTTCATTAGAAGAAGACTGGGACAGGCTCAACCGGTAACTAAAGTCTTGAGATGCCTGAGCTTGCCAGACCTGGACATTTTACAAGAGCTTCTTTCACTGTATAACAACAAAATATACATTAGCCCCAAAAGCGTTTGCATATACTTGCAAAAGCAAAAGTTGTTCCCTCTCTGCCATTTCTAGAAGTTCCAAGAAATAACAACATACCACCATGCATTTCCAGTGTGATACTTTCACTTTCAAGTTGGTGAAATGCATGCCTACTACATCCTTATACCAGATGACCTAATGACAACAAAGAGGAACCTTAAGGTATTTCCACGGTAACTACATCACTTCTGCACAAAGCCCTATGTCTCCAGCTACCTTAAAAAGAAAGTTGTACTCATTTCCAGTTGAATGATATCACTTCTGTTTGTTGAAAATACATGTCATATTCAGAAGCAGAAAGTCCTACGCCTCTGACAATATTAATATGAACGTAATGCACTACCAGTTGCGATATATCACTTCCTGTTACATGACTAATGCAACACAGCTTAAAACAGAAAATAACATGTTCTCCAGATTTAATTACCTTGACCTTCAATTTCAGCCAATCACATACTCAATTATTTTTGGTCGAAAACATAGGTATTAGCTCTTGCAATCATGTTATACAAACAGAGGGTGTTGGTTAAATACAGAAAGAAGCAAAACTACCTATGAATGACCATTCCACTGACCTAACCACTTCAACAATTTACCCTAGGGGTGATGTGAACCAAGTTTTATCCAATGTACAATGAATGTTCCTGGAGTTATTGAGACCATAATACATATACACAAAGAAAAAAGTTAAGCACTCCCTAATATATTTCATTATTGTTTGGTCTCAATATTTGTAACAGTCATGAAAGAAATAATTACGGGAAGAATTGTGTTTTCTCGAAATGATGTAATCAGTCGTGTGATGAAAGCTCACGTGCCATGCATGGTATGTCCGTGCAGCATGCTACCCTTGAGTATCTCTAAAAGCAGTATATCCAAACGTTAAAATTGCTTTCTTAACCTCGGTTTCAAACAGTGATTCCATGACATTGTGTGACCATGGCACGAAGGCGATTATCAAACGCCACAAGATGGCAAATAATCGGCATGCATAACGCACAAATCTCTTGTAATGCCACTGGTCGGAATTTGGGATATCATCACACTGTCGTAAACCATTTAGTTGAGAAACATGCTCAGACCGGTGATGTACAGGACCATCCTTAATCCGGAAGACCTCCTGTGACGACACATCACAAAGACAGGGACCTTCTTCGTCTCATACACTGAGAACCTTTTTTAACAAGTACTCGTCTGAAACAGCTTTGGTTGCCACATTGTCGTTTCAGCACCAGAACCGTCAGAAACTGGCTGAAAGCAGCAGGACTGAGGGCTAGAATTGGAGAACTTGGAGATGGATCCTTTGGTCAGACGCAAGTCGCTTTCTGCTCCACGCCACTGATGGAAGAACAAGAGTTTGGAGGCACCGGGACACGGCCTACACCCCCAGGAACATTAAACCGACTGTTACATACGGTGGGGGCTTGGTAATGGTTTGGGGTGTATCTCTCATGATTGCAGGTTGGATTTGGTCACCATAAGGGGCAACTTAACAGGGGCTCAGAGCAATGCAATAACGACTCTACCCTGGCCAGCAATGAGCCCAGATTTGAAACCCCTTGAACATGTTTGGGATATTCTGGGGCAGCACATACAGGCACGAGATCCTCCTGTACAAGATTTACGCCAATTGGAAGCAGCATTGCATCAGGAGTGGTTGTTGTTGACCCATCAACAGATCCAATGTCTGACTGGAGGCGTGAGATGTAGGGTGGAATGTGTCATCCAGGCACGTGACGGTTATACCCGCTCCTGATCTGTTTCACGTGTCATGTCAAGTAGAGACTTTAAGGAACATTTTCACACGAAACATCAAACGTAACTTGTTTACTTAATCCTGCAGCTCCATACTTTTTTTAGGTATTGTCTAAGGTCAAAAACAGTACCTCTGTTACCATGATGCTTTTGTCAGTAAATTTCAATCACAACTCACCAATATCTTCTTTATTTGTTGTCAAATGTTTGTTCTATCCGATGACATTGGTATCGCCCAGCTCCTGTGGTCAGTCAACCCATGCCATGATTTTTGCCATTTGTCATAGTTCAGAAATAGGGGTGTGCTTAACATTTTTCTTTGTGTATATTTTGAATGTATGATCTTGAGAGTCAATTCAAATTTTAAGATAAGTGATAAGTATTTCAAGAACATTCCAAAGGGCTATCCAACATGTGAACCAAACATGATATCCTTATGTAGATACAACAAAACAAATAGTATATGCTACTCATTGAAAGTAGGTCACAGCAATCTGCCATTGATATCATCACTAACATTACCACTACATGCAAACATCTGCAGAAAATGGAATTTTAGTGAAAATAGCAACCATACACTACTTATGATACTGACCTGACACACAGGTAACTCAGAACCTTTTCTAAATGATGTTTCACTGGACTACAGTAAATTTGTCTCTAGTTAGGCAGTAAATGAAGTTTGAGGATGATCTTGACCAAACATATCTATCGCGGCTATAAAGGATTCTGCAAGATTCTATGATATCCCTGAGATGCCAAGGCACCACATGGGGTTGCTTCATTATTAATTCATCCACATTCTTAGAGGTCTTGTCTCCCTGACAAAGAGTGATGATTCAGTTGACCTCAACAAATAAAGAGGGGACGGACAATGGACTTGTTTCATAAGCAGACACTCTTACCTGAACTGACAGCTGATTGCCATGTTCATCTAACATTGGTGATTTAAAAAATTATGATAATGCACACACATATGAATAATTATTTTCTCCATTGTCAAACAAAATTCTTACATTCAGCTAATTGTAAACACAATTTAATTTGATTTGACACACATACTAGTACAACATTTGCATATGTGTGTTATAGTTATCAGGCAACGCATTCAGCCAGGTCATCAGAACAGGATATTTCAGTGACAGGTGTGTTTCCTTCCATCAATGTTGCAATGAATCTCAAGGAGGAGGTGGAAATTATAACAGTTGGACACGTTGGTTCCTAGTGTCATTTCAGCTATAACAAACCAGGCTAACAAATCCAGGGGGTTTTCATGAAAAATAAAGCCTTTCAAATGGTTTTCTAAGACTGCACTTATGCTTTTTCAGATATTCTCAGGCCTGTTAACTAAAGTAAAATATCAGTAAAATTCTGATATATTCTCACTTATTTCTCATCCCTCACAAAATTGTAGTTGATACATTGAGATGAATTTACATTGGCAAATTTGAATCCTCAAGAATCAGGGAAACCAAATACTTTGACCAAACCAGAGTCTCGGTCACGCTCATGTTTATCATCACATGCAAATGCCAGTAGATGTCGTTTTGGGTGCCAGGCAACTGTAAATGTAGGCGTTTCACACGGGATTTCTGCAAGTTTCTCAGCTGAAAAAAGTAAACGTTACCACTACAGTCCTGTTAAACACAACATTTTAAATGTATAGTATTATCATGATCATTTTAACAGTAATAAGCCTAACCCTGTATAATACTGTTTTCCTAATACACTCAACAACTGGCATTATTACGGAAGTGATAAAGCACATCTAAATGCTGTTCCTATCATGTCAGTGTCAACTCACCTGTTTCTACATATGCTATGTCAATCACCAGATCTTCTGAGGCTGAAGCCAGCATTTTCCCATCACAGCTAAAACTGAGTGTCCTCACTGGCCAATCCAGTCTACAATGTATACAGGTTTACAGATACAGTACATACGTTTCCAACATACAAGGGACATGTGCATTTGGAGTTAAGGATATTGTTTAATAGTGGAGGCAATACCTTGAGAATGTTGCTCTCAGAAAATACTGCTGCATCCCACAAAAAAAGAAGGTACGTCCTGGAGAATGTCTGTTGTTTGCATCCGACATACGAATAAGTTGCTACTAAGGGTGAAACGATACACCTATATTCCGATGCATCCTGATACTTGACCCACGATACGATATACGATAAACGTAGGCCCATTTATCGATACGCCACGATACGGAATGCAAATCTCAAGTACGTTTCCTCGCTATTGTGCCTTTCAATAAACCGCTAACTTGGTTATAGCGCGCTGTAACGCATGGCTCCCAAAAACGTACTTACATTTTTAATAAGCTCAGGTTTTACACCGACAGATGTTTTTCCCCATCTCAAAAAACATTATCAGCTGATCCCCGCAATCACATAACAATGGAAATACCTGTCAGCAAATCCGAACTGAAGTACGCAATTCAATACCATTATCATACTATCTTGTTATTAAAACGTGTTCATTGTATATCTGGACTTGTGTTTGTAATATATTTTAATAGTTTTTTTCAAAATTTCATTTAATATTGTTTTCATTAAGTTATGTGAAATCGTGTGTGAAGAGATACAGCAACCACGGTCAGATTACCACTTTTGATGCATTGAAACAAACTTTAGTTGCTAGAGAATGGATACATATCTTAAAAATGCCATACTTTGACTCGTTAAAAGTCATATTTGTGGCAATTTGGCTAATATATGTCAACATAACGTTTTCGCAATCGAAATACATGTAGCACGAGAAGTCCCTAGGGTGACTGGTCAAATTGTTCCATGCGTAAAAATATCCTGCAACAGCAATCACCAGTACCAAAATGCTACACTTGTGGTTCTTATAATTTTAAATATACCGTATTCGACGTAATAAGCGCCCCGCTCTAATAAGCGCCCACGGCGATATTTGCTAATATATTGGCTAGTGAACAATCCCAAATAGCACCCCTTCCAATTGATCAATGTACACAAGACTTATTTATTCGTGTATAATACGCACTCATGTGTTATATGCACCCTTAATTATGGGCAATTATATTATGGATAAATATATCTGTCGTGTATAATACACACATACTTTTATTTTGTATCATTTCAGGCTGTCCGCATAAACCACGAAATTTACAATCTTTCAATTCTAGTTTTTTCTCTCCAAAATTTTATTCTAATAAGAGCCAAATATTTCAAATTTTGAGAGCGCCCCGGGCGCTTATTACGTCGAATACGGTATATATAGTAAAAGCTGCAACTAAGGTAACACGATATTGGAGTATATTATTCCTGATAAAACAATAATTTCAGATACAATTTCTTCGACCATTGCATCAAAATTCTTTGACGTTGTATCACTGGTGGAGCACATAAATTATTTTCTGGTGTTTGAACTTTGAATCGTTTTTAAGGAAAGTTAGAGAAAGTTCCACTTTGAAGCTGAACAACTTCAGTAGTCTTGTTATTATAAAATAATTTTGACTGTTCATGAAAGGTTCAATCTTGACATGCTTTAAGGTTGTTTTTTTTTATCATTGCGTATCGAGATACGTATCGTATCGTGACCAGAATATCGTGACCTTCCTGTATTGTTGCAGCCCTAGTTGCTACATCAAGAATATCAGCGCAACACAATCTAGATTGTATCTGACAGATTAACAAGATATTACATGTAGAATATCAGCACACAGACAAACCAGATTGCTATCAAAAGGCTAACAATGTATTGTTTGGAGCATGTCAGTACACACACAAACTAGATTTCTTTTAACAGGCTACAAAGTGGTACCTGACAAACAAGTTTGCTTTCAACAGGCTATAAACATACATTAAACAGACAATCAAGTTGGTACCTCCAGAAGATCAGCAAACCAGACAAACTTGAGTGCATCCTACACACCTGTATTATCTGTACAATGTCGGCATACTGACCAAAGGCAAAATGCACCCAACAAGCTTAGAAGAACAGCTCACACACAAACTTGACTGCTGCTCCTATTCCAACATGGTCTTACCTGTAATTTGATGACATTCAGTCCTTAGTCTAACAAGGTCTTACCTGTAGAATGTTCGAACACACACAAACTCTGCTGCATCCCACAGACTGACGAGAGCATCTGCACTCCCAGTGGCAAAGTAACTTCCAGTCGGATCAAACTCTATACAAATACAGTTTGCAGGATGTGCATTCAAGACATGCTGCAATTTCAAGTCAGGATAACTGAAATCAGAGAATGAAATGAAACATATGGAAATCTGATAAAAAAATTTGTGTATATCATATACTTATCCTGATATGACAGTATATAATTTCCTTTACTCTTCGACATCTTTAAGACAGCGTAAAAAAGGTTTGCTCATACTCACCAACAGACCACAATCACCAGTTTAGTGTAACCTGTCCTTGAATCTCAGGCTGCTTTTATATTGTCAAGGACAAGAACCTCGTTGTGCCTTATCCCTGTCATATCAGGATAAGTATATAAGATACAAAATACTCAAAAAAATATATAATTTATTACAGTCCTGAAACGACAATATGCAATTACCCAAATCTCAGAAGGTGGGCCCGGAGATCGTTGCATCATCACTCCTACTGTTGCCAGACACATACTTTTGCACAGAATGTGTGTTCACTAGTCTTGTGTTATCAACATAAATTGTTTCGTCATTTCAAAGCTACATCATTTATCATATACCTATCAATGATACGAGGCATAGAGATGGTCATATCACAGGGGGTGTGATAATCAAACCTGTATAACACTGTTTGGCTTGAAAATGAATTTTGAAAGGGTGATTGGTATTAGCTTGAGTGGTAGGAATTTGGAGTTACGTCTCTTAGTGTGTTGTCTGCCTGTCTGCTCAGCTAGCCTTCCTGTGACAATGACTTTCAAACAAAGTTAAAATATTGCATTCACATGCAAATAGAATTACGGAGATAGATGCTATCTTGGACAAAACTAAGGCCAGATTTAAATGGGAAATAATATGGTAACTACTAACTGAATTTCTTGGAGAAACAACAACCTACAAAAGTCCATCACTGGTCGATGCTGGATCTTGAGGTGTAGGAGAAGCATCCACCATACACAGCAATCTCCCAGTATGGGCTTGAGTAGATGTTAATGGCATCTTCTGGGGTTCCTGAGATGCTGCATCAGTAGGAGTTCTACCAACATATCTGGAAGGTAGTAGTTGGCAAAGGCAGTCCTTAATTATGTATGTGATGAAGCAGTTGGTGTATAACACATAGATTCCAGTGCCCTGATCTCATATGGATTGTTAGGTCTCTAATCCAGTATGCTGATAGGCCTCCAGAATCCTCTCCCTTAGCCAGAAGGATAGGGTATTTTGGGTACATGAATCTTGCTGGTACGGGAGACCATCAGGAAGTCATCGGTGCAGCCATTGGCGAGCCCCAGGATGAGAGAGAGTGGGTGAATCTTTAACCTTCAGACTTCTTGGCCCAGATGTTGGTTCCTGGTGATGCAATGTAAAAAACCAGACCAGATGTACTCAACTCATGGTCAGGTATGCTTTAGCTTAATTGGGTTGAATATCTCAGTTCTTCCCCCCCCCCCCTTTGCATGGGTGGAGATCCTATTAGCATTGAACTGTCTTCTTGGCTAACATTTGTAACATTAGTGCTCTTTGCACATTAACCACACCAGCATGATATTCTGCCACTGGTTGATCCATTTTGGTGTGAGGGTGACACAGGAGGCCCTGAATCAGGCATAGAGGTGATAACAGGAACAGAGGCCCTGAATCAGGCAAAGAGGTGATAACAGGCACAAAAGCCCTGAATCAGGCATAGGTAATCCTTTTCTGGAAACCATTTAATCACTGATTCTAATCCTGACCCGAGATAAATTCCTCTGAAATTTCTCTTGAGGACTTGAAAATCAGAATGCATCAAGAATCAGTCAAATATGTGTTACCTTCACTAGAAATTCCTGATTAGATGGACCTTGTACTGCTATTTTCGGTGATGAACTCTTCTAGTTTCTATCTCTTCTGACTAGGGCGTCACTTCTGGTCATCTGAACCTAGTTCCTGAAGCAGTTGATACTCAAGGTGCTCCTAATCCATCCTACACCTAATAGACAGGAAAATCAAGGGTGTACCCACCCTCTGATGCTGCCGTTGTTGGATCCTCCCCCGACTCCTCTTTTTTCGATATAAGGAGGAAACTATTGGTAAATGACAGTTTGCCCCACGACAATGTGCCAAAGGGAATATATAACCCTCTAGGTCCGGCTGCACGTCACGCAAGTAAAAGCTGGTGAAGGTGTTTTGTGAGGCCCACTGACAGCAAGACACTACTTGTTCCACGAAACGGATGTCCATGAAGCGAGACTCGTGGCTAGGGCTCTGACTTCATGAGCGGAGCAGGATCCAAGACGGGGAGTGGAATTCTGTGCCTGCGTATAACTTGCTGCAATGGCAGACTTAAGCAAGCCCACTACCGTAGACTTGGTGAATGAGGCATGCAGGATATGAAAAGTCTCCTTCAATGGCGTCTATGTGGTTCTGTAGCCGAGAGTTAGAATTTGAGAGCTCTAATGGGACAGAGAATTTTGTCTGGGTGATCCACTCTGTTCAGAATGGGGTGGTTTCCAATTGAGAGTCTGTCATGTTGAAGTACAGAGTAAAGTGCCAATCTGTTACCTTCGGAACTCCTTGTCCTGATGTAGATGCAGTAGAAGAAGTAGTAGAAAGGCCGCTACCATAGGGATGGAGATTGTATTAGTATTAGTTGTATTGTCATCTTCTCCACTGGATGAACTTATCCCATCTGTTGTCATGTATAAGGGAGGATGAAGGTCTCCATGATCTTGCCACAGCTTCAGAGGCAAGTCTAGAGAACTTCAGGCGGTTAGATGTAGGCTGGGCAGATTGTCATAGAAAATGTTTGACCAGGATTTAAGGTCCATTCTGTTGCCACTATTCTCCTTTGATGGACATGGATATCCCTTGTGGAGTTGAAATGTGCTCCTATGTATACGATGTCTTGAACAGGAGTGGTCTCGGATTTGGAGGGATTGACTAGGAAGCCTAGGTGGGTCATAAGCTGAACCAGAAATAGCATGTTCTGGTGCAACTGAGCTTCTTCTTAGTCTGCTGCCAGGAAATGGTCCAGGTACCCATGCATTCGTACTAGCTGGAGGTGGGCAAACCTGATGACTGGTGCTGTAATCCTGGTAAACAGCCATGGGATTGTTGATATCCCGAATGGTAAGACCTGGAACTCGTAGCGTTGACCATTGTAGGTCAAGGCTGATGAGCCAATCTCCTGGCCTCAAAGTTGACCGCAACTTCCGTACAGATTCCATCTGGAACTTTGGAGGAGGTACCAGGAATGTTTAGTTGAGGATCTTTAAGTCTATTATCATCCTCATGTCGGGTGAAGAATACTGGAGAGTAAAAACCTTTGGTCTTGTTGATCTCTGATAGTTTCCGAATGGCTCGCTTCTTTAGTAGCTTCCTGACGGCCAGATCTGCTGCTGCTATCTTTGCTTCGACTAGACGAAATCTGCGGCCGACGGCCAGAGATGCCAGGATGGGATGCCTCTTGAAATGCAGTTTGTATCCATAAGCCACGACGTCTAGGACCCAGCGGCCGTGCGTAATCTGCATCTAATTTTCCCTGCATGACAGAAGACGCCCTCCCACTGGCCCCGGAGACGGCATTATGTTGAAAGACAGTAGGCATAAATCGCAGTACATAGACAATACCAGGTCGAAAGGGTCTATAATGGCGGAATGGGTGGCAAGGAAGTCAGAACCTGCGTTCACCTCTGCCCCCAGCAATAGGATCCTCGTTTTGTAGTGGGGCTGACAAAATAAATCCTGAGAAGACTGTAGTTTGTCTTACCCCACACTTGGTTCTAAAGAATCCTTCCCGGAGGGGACAAACTTTTTCTTAGGTGGCTGTTTACACAACGAGTCTTTCTGATCCCAGGAACGCTTCGGGGGATAGGAAGATCCATCTGCCTTGACAGCTAGGTTGATAGTCGACACCTGGAATCGTTCAGTTGTGTCTTGTCTGACCTCATCTATGACATGTCCCAATTGACCATTGAACATCATGGGATGAGTCTGACCTGATCTGTCCTAATAATCATAGGAGTCTCTCCGGATATGCTTTCATATGATGCCTGCAACGGTGGAATGCTGTGCCTGATACCGGTGACAAAACAGTTCTTATATACGCCAATGTCCATTGAAAGTCTGAACGCCATTGACAGGTCTTTACTCCAGGGAGCAGGTAACATGACTTTAGTATTAGGGTTGTGTACTAGCTTCATAAAGTCCTCGTCCAAAACTTGATGGTCTGGAAGTGGAGACTCATGGGTTTTAAACAACTTCCGCTTCAATGGAGGTAAGGATAGCTCGTCATCATGTCTGAGCTTGAGTAGACTTTCAGAAGCCTGATGTACCACCCTGTCTGCATAACTTGGCCACTGCAATGTCTGGTGGATATGTTGAGATGATGTAGGAGCATGACATCCTCCGTATTTCGGCATCTTACATAGTGAATATTCTGTCATTGGAGGTTTGAGTACAGGCATAAGATGATATAACTAGAAAGTGTTTTTACTCGTAAAAACATATGTCTCCCCCCACTCCCCTAACCCCCATTCATTCGTTTACTTCACGTTAAACCCCATCTCTTCATTCCCACCCTCCATTACTAAATAACAGAGACAAAAATAGAACTCCTAGAAATTTCAAACAACTAATGGGCACCACTTCAGTGCTGGGTTAATGTGTATACAAAGTTTTCGCGAAAAAATATTAAACGGTTTCTGAGTTATGGTCAGGAAACAAAGCTTACCCCCATTCAGAGCTTTGTTCAACTTATCTCCATGGAAACGAGAAAAAATAAAAATGTCAAAAATCTCTAAATAGCAAAAGGCACCACTTCAGTGCTGGGTTAATGTGTATACAAAGTTTCGTGAAAAAAATATTAAACGGTTTCCGAGTTATGGTCCGGAAACAAAGCTTACCCCCATTCAGAGTCTATGTTCAAGTTATCTCCATCATGTCCATGGAAACGAGAAAAAATAAAAATGTCAAAAATCTCTAAATAGCAAAAGGCACCACTTCAGTGCTGGGTTAATGTGGATACAAAGTTTCACGAAAAAATATTAAACGGTTTCTGAGTTATGGTCAGGAAACAAAGCTTACCCCCATTCAGAGCCTATGTTCAACTTATCTCCATGGAAATGAGAAAAAATAAAAATGTCAAAAATCTCTTAATAGCAAAAGGCACCACTTCAGTGCTGGGTTAATGTGGATACAAAGTTTGGCGAAAAAATATTAAACGGTTTCTGAGTTATGGTCCGGAAACAAAGCTTACCCCCATTCAGAGCCTATGTTCAACTTATCTCCATGGAAATGAGAAAAAATAAAAATGTCAAAAATCTCTAAATAGCAAAAGGCACCACTTCAGTGCTGGGTTAATGTGTATATAAAGTTTGGCGAAAAAATATTAAACGGTTTCCGAGTTATGGTCCGGAAACAAAGCTTACCCCCATTCAGAGTCTATGTTCAAGTTATCTCCATGGAAAATGTCAAAAATCTGGGTTAATGTGTATACAAAGTTTCGCGAAAAAATATTAAACGGTTTCCGAGTTATGGTCCGGAAACCAAGCTCACCCCCATTCAGAGTCTATGTTCAAGTTATCTCCATGGAAACGAGAAAAATAAAAATGTCAAAAATCTCTAAATAGCAAAAGGCACCACTTCAGTGCTGGGTTAATGTGTATACAAAGTTTCGCGAAAAAATATTAAACGGTTTCTGAGTTATGGTCTGGAAACGGTGGGAACGCCGACGCCGACGCCGACGCCGACGCCGAAGGGAACCGTGCCAAAAACAATATGTCTCCCTCCATTCTGGGGGAGACATAACTCCTCAATGAGTTCCACAAAGCTGTATTCCTCTGTATAATCCCGCTGGTGTGAATCGTCAGACTGATTAACCTCCTCATATAGGTCCGATTCCGCCTCAGAATGACTGTGGGTAGGTCCCGGGAGGGATGGATGTTTGTCATAATCCATACACTCAACATGTTCCAGTGCAGTCCGAGTGGTCAGCTTGGGTTCTGTCGGTTGATTGTGACCTTGCCATTGAAGTGACGTTCCCGTAATGGTCTGCTGGGCTACTGTGGGTGAGAAGATGGCCTCGTGGTACCCTGATGGGATCCAAGTGGAGATCTAGATGCCCATGTCTCACGGAAGGTAAAACTTGGGAGCTTCTACCCGGCTGGTCCATATGGTTATCTGGGGTAGGCCGTACAGCTGTGGCTGTGGTCTGAAAAGATGGCTGTCAGGACTCAAATAGTCAAATAGTGACTCCATCAGATGGGAAGTGGGACTCCATCATCTTCTTATGCAGGTTGAAGAACTGTTGAAACATGTTCATAGAGAACGCAGAATTAGATTAATTCGACGAAGTAGTAGGTAGAGACGCTGTGATAGGGTCAGACGCTGGGTCTGAGTCAATAGCCGGAGTCATGTCGACCTTCTTCTTAGCAGCTTCTCTTCTTCTAGCTTTAGGCAAGGCTTCTGCTTGTTTGTTGAAGGCCTTCTTAGACAGAGTATAGCACTGATCGCATCTTGCCTCTTCAGTGCATTTAGCCTCTCTGCACTTCCACACTTCCAGCAGTTGCTGTGAGGATCTCTGGTGATCCAATGGCCACTTATTACAAGCAGGAGGAGGGGGAGACTCCATGACGACCTCACAACACCTAACACCAGCAATACTTACGTACTGAAAACTTTGATCAAGGATGTTTCCATGCAAGGGATCAAAAAAAGAAGGAGGAATGCATAGAGTGAGATGATAAGTTCAAAAATTAGTTTTCTCAGTTATTTTAAAATGCAATTGATGGGACATATAACATGTAACTATTCCATGCCTGTTGAGGTAAGCATGCCACACAAACTGACATGGATGTAACCATGTCTACAAAACTCTTAAGGCTAACCTTGACCAAAACCTAAGCAGGGCCCCCTTCTAGAGAAGGCATAAACCAACTTTAACTGCATTAATACTTTATGAGAAAATGTAACTACAACTTTCTTATGACCTTGACATTTGAAATTTTTATGACATAGCCCAAACAATTCTCTGAAGCCTTTTCGAAGAAGTCTATGGAAGATTAATCTCTAATGTCAATAATCTTTGTGCAGTAAACAATAGAAACATCACCTGCAATGGTGGTCTAATTCCACCGAAACCTTAAAGCAGTCCTGTTTCATGGGGCTGCTTATTTCCAGTACTTGAATTTATTTGTATTATATATATTTGAGTTGGCCGTGAGAAAAGTTGTTTTTCTCTGAAATTCTGAAGTCAAACAAATGTAACACACACATACACGAAGAACCATGGTTTCATTAGTGTTATCTTGCTTCAGCGTGTTCAGCATCTTAAGTTAAGGGAGTTAACTTTAAACTTTAAAAGTCCAGTTTCCACCCTTGCCGAACTAGGCTGGAATTCCTTGGCTCGATCATAGTGCCACCGGTTGTTTTTACGAGTTATGTCCCTTCTAAGCCTCTCCTATGGACCAATCAGATTCAACCTCTCATATCACTTGCATTTGTAGCAAACAAAATAGTGGCGCCTATATTGTGATAAAACGGGTCTTACATCGCGAAGTGCATCAAATCACATGAGCACCTTCATCAAAAACATGAAAAGACTTGGAAAATATCTGCTGACAACGAGTTGGCGATGCACATGCTTTGCAAATCTTGCAATCGACCGAAATCTGCACGACAGTTTACGAACCGGATTTCGATTTCGGTGCGCGATTTTGATTGGACTATGCATAGACTCGTTAGTCCAGCAAAATGTAACTCCATAACACCAACCTAGTTCGGCAAGGGTGGAAATTGAACTTATATAGTCAGTTAACTCTCTTCCCTCTGGAAGATGCGTGTTCAGTGACCATTTAATCATCCATAACTACAATGACAATTTCTTTTGGTGCTAATTGGGCCTGGTCATCCTGTTACCTGAGGATGTGTATGCTGCCTTGACCACTTGTCAGGAAGAAGAGATCACCATCGTTGTTCCAAGATATTTCATTTACTTCAAATTTGAATTGTTCATCAGCCCTTGATCTATGAGTCTTTGCATCAATGAATGTGACCAGATCTTCCTTGTTGCCCACAGCAATAGTGCTTCCATCTGGAGACCAGCAGATGTTGATATTCTCACCTAAAACAAACAGCAGGCAGTGAGAAGCTGTCTATAATGCCTTACTCATCATAGTAGGTGAATGTTGTTTAACAGCACAGCACTACTGCAGCTATATCATGGCATCCTGTACATGACATAGTGCCACAGCACTGTAGCTCACCTGCATACATAGTCAACAGTTTCAAATATCAATAAAGATAGTCACTTAACTGTTGCTATCAACAATGATATTAAATATTTCCAATGTAAATACATAAGTACTGAGAACTAAAAAACTAACACCTTAACATAATATGATCTCATCATTAGTAGAAACAGACATGCCAAAGCTCAGCTCCCCCATTTCAGAAAAGACGTTTACAGGGCAAAATACACATTTTGAGAGAATACAAGAACGTAGTAATAAAAAAGGGCCAAATGTAAAATAGTCCCGCTGTATACCATGTTATACAAATCAAATACCAAATTTCATTGCATTTTGTACAAACATATCCGAATTAAGGCCAAATATTACATTTTCAAGATGGCCACAAGTCTAAAATCAGATTATAATTCATTCAGCACATTTTAGAGATTCCATAGCTGGGATTATTCATACAAAGTTTCAGCTCAAAATGTTTTGTGGTTCTAGAGGAAATGTTGAAAAGTTAATGATGGACAGACGCCTGGCACTGCACCATGACACTTAAATCAAATGATTTCAAGAAAATATGTCATCATTAGAAGAAATATACACAACACAACAACAAATGAAATGAACCTGAATGGAATGGTGAGTCATAGAAAACTTATATTTTGTAAAAAAAACTGCTCATTAATGGAAATGAATAGCTTCTTCAATATGACTGCTGTGAAGGCCACTTTGAAAAGTCTAACTTGTTCAGCCCAAACTCTTACAAAAATATAAATATTGCAAAAAGGAATGAAACATATGTTGAGTCTCACTACTAACTACCCATACCAAGTTTCATTACAATTTGACCTGTAGGGATTCTGGGTTAGAATAGGTAAACAGGAATCTCATAAAAAGTCCACCAAATGAATCAGGTAACTTGGTGGATTGTCTCAAAGTCTCATACCAGTTTGCTGCAGATTGTTGTAATTATTTGTTATGAAGCTCTTAATAATTCAAGCAAGTAAGATGAAAATAAAGCAAGTGCACTCCCAAATATACATTATTCCTTCAGGGTTATGAATGAAATATGGAAACTTCAAAGCAGGTTTTGATATAAATTTGGTTTCAAACTATTTATTATTTACAACAAGTATTTGTCACAAAGTGACAAAATGTCCCCCTCCTGTATATACACCACAGTACCAAATATGAAGACAATCCAGCGATTAGTTCTTGAGATATTGCGGCAACACCATTTTCCAACTCCATAAGCAGATTTGCCTGCTGTGACCTTGAAGATGGGGTCAGAATTCTTTATATATAACTGAGTCTGCTATTGGATAACAAGGCTGTAGTTAACTTTTTTTTACAGGGGGGCAAATAAGATTATTAATTTTTTATTCAAGTTAACTTTTACAAGGAAAAGTGTTTTCTATAAAAAATCCAGGGGGGGCAACTGGCTACGGCACTGGATAAGGTCAACCAACAATATAGGCCTAACACATTACAGTTGTAACACTTTCTCTAAATAACAGCTTACCCTTTGTGTTAATTGTAGCTGCTGACTTGCTGGAGCGAGTGTCCCAGATGCGAACAGTCTTGTCCCCACTAGCTGTGACAAGGAGGTCTGAATTGCGTGGATGCCAACACAATTGATCAACACTGTCACCATGGCCACGGAATATGTGATCCTTACTCTGTAGAAAACAAGATAAATAGGAGAAATGTAGTCATGGTAAAACAACTTATCAATTCAAAATTATTATTATTATACATCATAATCATCATAAAGGTAATTTCAGCATCACTACTTCCAGTTTCAGGAAACATGTTCCGACTACAGACAGATACCCTGCCTCCAGCTGGTCTAAATTAATCATGATAATAAGGAACCAAAACAAATTTCTGACCTAGTGGATGTTACCCCTGCAAGGGGACAACATGCCAAAATTAGTGCATCTTTAAATACAAAAGTTCCATGTCTCTACATGTTCTACTAAATCTGTTAATAAGACACACGTCTGGTCTGATGATGTCACTTCAGGTTTTGGGAAACATGTTGTAAGAGCAGTAATACTTAAAAGCATCCCATACCCCTAGCTTTTCACAGTAGACAGTCATATGCGCTTCTGGCTTGATTATGTCACATCCTTGACCTTTGACTGATCTGGACCAAAACTTTTCAAATCACGGTTTCATCTTAGTAGCTATTAAGAATTACATTTCAACATCTTTGCTGTTGTAAATGCACAATTGACATATTGTGCATATCTGTTACATAATGAAAGTCTGTTGCACATATACTGGGTTCATGTAAATGTGGAGTTCCAAGCAAATTACTGGTAGTTTATACAGGGCCCTGCTGGCAGAGATTGTTTTTCTTAAAGGGCAAGTAAAGTCAAGCAACTTTGCAGGTTTTAATACTTTAGTGCATACTTAATCATAAATGCTTGACCAAAAGTAAATTTGAAAATGGGAAATAGTGTAAAAAGGACGGTAAAAAGAGACACGCGAAATCGACCCCAAAACAGTATCAAGGTTAAAATGGGTTCCCGCTGCTTGCGTGTTGCACAATTTCAATGATTAGCCCAGTCTGCCAGTTGGTTTATTTGGGGTCCTCCTACTTATCCCACACCTATTGTTATGGGTACACGTTCACCCAAGCGCGGTGATGGGTAAGACAATAGGAGATTAAAGGGGCACTAATCTCTAGCTTTTTCTTGGCTGTCTGACACTGGCTGCTGGGGCTCACTAGCTGCCGTGAGTCGATTTGTTCGCTAACGCAACTGAGTGTGACAAAGGGACTGGATCTATAAAGATTTTGACAAAGGGCGCATGTTAATTAATTTCTTTAGCCTAAACAAATAGAAAAAAAGAACAGCAGCAGCTCATCGGATGTCGTCATTTGGAAATACCCCTGATGGTTATAGTTCAATAATAAATAAAAAGTATCCGTGCAGTGAAAGCATTATCGGATTTTGGATTGTGTGGATAATACGGTTAGTACTTCTTTGTTGTCATCCATTTTTTCTGGTATAACCCTAAACTTGTGTATTTGTCGTCATTCACTCGATGCTCAGTTAATGAACTTATTACAGGTATAATTAGTGGTGGCACCACCCAGATTACCTGACAAAGGTTCCCATTTGGCATTTCTTCTGTCTGGGGTAATTATTCAATCTAAATCCAGGTTTGAAGTGAGGCGAAATGTGTGTTATGTAATATACACGTGGCAGCCCAGCAAGAGATGAATGATCAGTTGATTTACTTTTTTGTAAATCAACGGATCATTCATATCCATCAAAGGATCAACAGAAAATATGTTGATTGATTAATCACTGATATCTTGCACAGTGGATATGTCAAAAGTAAGTGTTTACATGTCTAGGTTTACAAAAGCAAAGGGAATACACTCATATAATGCAGATGTAAAAACAACATACTTTGTTCAAAGGGTTAACCAATAATACGTTGATTGCTTGCTCATTGTTATCTAAGTCAATGAAGAACCGTGGACATTATGAAAATAGTTGTCTTGTGGACTTTCTCAGCTGACCTTAGAGACTTTGACACATATGTGAAACACCTGAAACGAACACGGGTTATAATATCCCAAAACTATATATATATTTTAAAATATTTGATTGTTACAGAGACACGTGACATCGAATAAGTTTCTTTGAACAGCTGCAGATGTGTGGGATATTGTTCCTTTGTGTGGATTTTCACAGATACATTCCTCGAACAAGGAAGCTGCCTAAAATTATACATATAAATTTGGTGTTTTGTAATTTTGATATTTGCATTTTGTTTTCTTTCATTTGCTATAGAACAGATTCATTTTTTTTCCTCTACGTCTTGGTTTTGAAATTCTTCGATGCATGATAGATGTTGTTTTCACAAGTCTTTTCCTTTGTAAGCGTGTATATATTACAGTCAATTTGTAAAATGTGATTCTCTCAGGCAATTTATAAAATGTTTAAATATTTCAGTCATTTTGACTGAATAATCTGTCCATATATTTTACAGATTGACTAAAAATGATTTAGACTGTCAAAAGGGCTTTAAAACACCACAATATGCTAGGATTAGAAGCCAAACAAAATAGAAATGTATTTTTAATCCTAACATTTTCAGTCTCTTGGTGATGATATTAAACATCAAAATGTTTGGAATTTGTTATCTTAATGATACAGATGGACATATATTGCAGTCAATTTGTAAAATAACTGAATATTTATGCGTTTAATAAATATCCTAAGTGAAAACTTTGCACATTTGACTGTAAAGATATAACACCTTAAAATAAGCAATACTTAGGTGAAATATTTACTTTGTGTTGCAAGTCAAAATAGTGTAAACGAAAATCACACAATTACCAAGCAAGTGACTTATCAAAACTATCTACCCACAAAGATACCTACATTTCCTTACCATTTCCAAAACTGTATTTTCATGTGTTGATCAATGTGACCATATGCCCTTATACTATCAATAAAAGTGATAAATGTGCTTACGAATGGCAAGAAACAGGTCGCGAACTAGTCTAAAAAAACAATAACAAAGGCAACAACCAGTCCCGCATCTTCCGGAGGCAAGGGTGTTAACTGATTACAAAAGTTCAGGTTCCTGGAATTTCGTGGCTCCATTGTAGCGCCACCAGTGGCCATTACGGGTTATGTCCCTTTGATATACCTTCTATTGACCAATCAGATTACATCTCTCATATCACTTGCATTTGCTTCCAACAAAATGGCGGTGACCAGTCAAGATGATCTGATCAATAATCAAGATCTGTATTGTATTTAAACGGCTCTTACCTCACGAAGTGCATCAAATCATTTGAGCACCTTGATTATAAACATGAAAAGATTTGGAAAATATCTGTGGAATCCCAGTTGACAGTGAACATATTTTGCAAATCCTGCAGACGATCAATATCTGCACGTTGAAATCCATGTTGTTTACGAAACGGATGTATAGTTCATTGCATGATTTTGATTGGACTATGCATAGACTCGTAAGTCCAGCCAAAATGTATCTCCAGAATTCCAGCCTAGTTCGGCAAGGGTCGAAACTATTAACTTGACTTTTACAGTCAGCTAACTCCCTTGCCTTGGGAAGATGCCAGTCCCGGGGAATTGCTTTAGATCAGTACCCCTTTAACCCTCTTGGTGCCACGGGACCATATATGGTCCCTCACTTTTCACACCCGCATAGTGCCAAGGGACCATATATTGTCCCGAGAAAATGCCCCTTTTAAACCATGAATTTAGATATCAAACACTGTGGGCACAAAGTCAAAATTATAACCATCATCACCCCAGTCATCTTAGCTTTAACATCGTGCAACTCATACTTTATACAATGCTACGGTTTGCGAAATATGGAGAGATTAATAAAGTGGCTACCACGCTCCTCGGCCTTTCTCTGCCATGTTTGAACACCATGCGAATGACGTCGATTTTTTATTATGCACCCATGTCACATACACGTAAATATTTTCAGACAAAATCCTTGTTCATAAGAAATAATATGACCAGAGTGGTCAGAAAGACATGTTTCTCACAACTGTATACTTATTCTCGTAAATAAATTTCTGTTCACTCCTTTACGAACAAGTTTTATTTACACGTTTTGTATATTTTTATCGACTATCAGTAATGGCGGAATGGTCGGTACACATGAGAAAACGACAGTGTATATTTCCATTACATTTATGATGTTCATTGAATGAAATTATAACCATCATCACCCTTATCATCTCATCGTTAATATCGTGTCACTCATATTTTATGCAGTGCTACGGATTGTGAATTATGGCGAGATTAGTAAAGTGGTTATCGCCCTTCTCGATCTTTTTCTGCCATGTTGAACTTCATACCAATGAAGGCACTTTTTTATTATGCACCCATGTCACATACACGTAACTATTATTATATCAGACAGCCAATTTGAACAAGAAATCTGATCGGACAGGTCAGAAAGATTTACTTGTCCCCACTGTACAGTTATTGGCGTAAGAGTACTAACATTTAGTCGGCCACGGAAGTTTTTTGTTCAAGTATTGCATATGTTTATCTGCTGTGTGTCATGGCAATTTAGCACGGCGCTAGAGATGAAACGACAGCACAGATTGTCTTTCTGTTTATGATGCTGATTTACAGAAAATATTCAAATCAAAGATATGGAAAGATAGCTATAATCGTTAATATTAAGGTGGTATAGTGTATATTTATGGGCAGGAAGTTCATGATCAAAACCTAAACATTGAATGGCCAAACCCGAAGTAATCGATAGGGCACGTTCGCATCATATCTGTGCCGTGATTTCTTGTCTACCGGTTGAGCTACATGCTCGCCTGTTCAGACAAATAACTAACTGCTACTTTTTTCATATGAAATGACTAAAAGTCATGTGTGATTGCTCAAACTACCTGACCGTGTGAGTGACTTGCCCTTGCCTGTTTCACATTTTGTCGCAAATGGAGATTTAAAATATGTGGCCACGACATCTAACGTGAGTCGACGCCATATTGTAAACAAATTGTGTCACGGTCGGTTCCACATGTGGTAGCTCGGCCCCCGTTTCTGTCGATGGTACATGCAATACAAACATAATGCAACTACTGAAGACATCAACATAACTTCTACAATAATGACAGCAATATCTATTTGTATCTGTTGTATTAACCGCTTATGGATATGCTGTGCTGTTAAGTTCGATTGCAATTTGTTTTTCCTTTCATTGAAACTGTGATAATGGTGCTGTGATTGGTTTGCTGAAATAGTATTTTCCATGAGACTAATGTACATGGTACATGCTGTGATTGTACAAGATAACTGATAACCAATTGTGTATGCATCATCAAATACACATTACTAATCTCTTCAGAAAATGGAATATATTATCAGCTCGTATTTCCAACATTCTGCCATGGATATTAGATCTAATATTAATATTGGATTTACAAATAATTGATGTACACTGTACTCTCGATTAACGTATGATAATCTATTTCAAGTCTTCAACTCTTATATGATATGTCATCTGAAATGTCAGCAATGAGTAAACTTAATTTTATGTCGTTACAATCTACAATTTTATTCGAATAGGCTTGTAGACGGTCGGTCATTTCCCGCCGCTGTGAATTTGTCGTCTGGACAGTTGCACGTAATTTGACCTCACATGTTGTGATGTCACATGAAACAGCTGATCTAATGTTGTGGTTGTATAATGGATACATGTGGTTTCATTTTCCAAATAACAATATTCTCTTTGACTGAAATAGAAAGCATATCTAGTAGATCACGATTGGAAAATGTCCACGGCAACCGACAAGTGAATGAGACTGCCTATCATTTGACTAACAGTGTTAGAATATTTGGCGTAGTTTTCTAATTTTGGTATGTTGACATGTGCTTTTCATATCTGTTTGAAGGCTGGATATTCCCAAAAAATAATGTGCATTTAGTGGAGTAAGGGAATGTATTTTTTTACAGTGAGAAAGCTGTCAAAATGGATCCAATATTAAACAACCTATATTTTTAATATTTTAGCTTCATCTATTAGAATCTCGAATGGTTCAATTTATAACATCAACAGTAAAAGTAATTAGATCTACTCACAATATATAGATAATCGATTTCTGAAAGACAAAATGTTTTCAGTGTAACTATGACTTCATTTTGATGTTTTATATAATTTTATTTAAGTCCTTTTTCACTCTGCATTATATAAATTACCAAATACTTCGATCAGTGACATAGTAGTAATTACTTTGTTTTGTATCCTTAGTATGAAATAGATTTTATAAAATAAATATTTGTCAAAGAGCAAAATCAAAGCATTCTTGTGGTTCTTTTTTCATCATTTTAATTTGTATATCTTCCCTCCAAGCTGTAGTTTAGCTAGGCCAAAATTTAAGAAAGAAATAGGAAAGACATAATAACTGAAAACCATTTAGATTAAAGATTTTGCTGTTCAATACCAAGAATATATTTTTCCGTTTATGACAAATAATTCCTTTACTTTCATTGACCTACTATCATTATATATTTCAAACTTTCCCTTTAGTAGAATGGGATGGAATGGGAAACTACTAGAAATAAACTATCACGTATATGTCCTTAAATGTACATGTACATACCTAGCTAGGTATTTATTTATAAATCAATATGAAAGAAAATGTGGTATTTCATAGACTGGCCATACAAGTATATTTTGAGCAAAGGTCTAAGTAAGGCAGCCAAGTGCGAAATACTAGCTGAGACGAGGATCTATGATTTCTGGTGGTCATAGTGAAACAATGACATATGGCGCCTGAGTTGTGAGTGATCGAAAATAGGTTTGTTGAATAGATTTGCAGTCCATGGAAAAGTTTTAACAAGTTTGATTGAATCTACATGTACTTACTCTTGGGTGGTATTACGTTAGTATCTTGTTAACCATTAAGAAATGATAATGATGTCTGATATTGAGCGATGTCAATTTGAGTATTGTTAGGGCTGTTTAGCGATCTTTCACATTTTGTCCTTTGAAAATGTATGATGTCAATTACCCCGAAGTAATAAAAGAGCATGGTCACTGAAACATACATGGCCGTAACCAGAATTTCTTCAAGATATACTTTCCAAACTGTCATTTGTATTGTGACATAATCTTTGAAACAGTCTGCATATGAATTAATCACGACCACTTCAGTCAATTTTGTTTTGACGTCAAAAACACTCACAATTTCATTGGGATCTTTTATCGGTAAATATAACTCACGGAAAATTCTCAGTGAATGTGTACTTGAACATAATAAATGATAAATGTAATATGTCTATCACTGTTAGGACATGTACTTGCCATGACATGAATTACTGGACATTTAGATTTCAAACAAGGGCGCTTACTTAACTTTGCTTGCCATATTCGGGTGCTTCGATATTACGATTAATGTAGAAAAGTAGGACACTTATAATACCAGCACTTTTATCGATGGTGAGGCAGTGCATAGATCTTTTGGATTTGGTGACTTTAGATACTGATGGAAAGACAATCAACTCGAGTTGCATGTTATACAATTTGGTTACACTGTGTTAAGAAATAAAGACGTAGTAACACTTTTGATACAATGTATACGTTTTAGAAACAGCGACGTCATCACAGTGCGGCACTGAGCGGTTAAGGGACGCATCTCATATAAGACAAGTAATTGGTGAATATCTCACAAAATAAAACGACACAACTAATTGGTGAACTCTTTTAAAATACACACTACTGAGTGAAAGTGTTTACAATATATATCAATGTATACCACACAGTAGACCTGTACAATTACTGGTTTTTGTTTTGACAAGATGTGCTTACATCAAATCATCATTTATAACCTGCCAATTTTGTGACAAGAAAAAACGGGTATAAAATATGTTTGTTTTCTCTGTATTTACATGGTTTTTTTTCATGTTTGATGAAAAGTTATAGGAGAACAGAACGTGTTTGTTTAGAATAGGTCTAATGGGCCCCTACTAATTAATTGTCTACCAGGGGAATAGATTGTAGGGTTTTCTCACCAATCTATCGCGATCCAGTGAATAAGTACTGACTGTCTTGTCAAAAGATCCCGATGCTAACTTCCGGCCGTCACAACTCCATGCTACTGAGTGAACTTTGGCCGAATGGGCTTGTATATCGCGTATTCTGTTATTGTTTTGAAAATGTTTCAGCATGCTCTCCATTTGAGACGCCATTTTGAAATAAGCGCCATCTGGTAGATTCTTGCGAGTAACCTACCCTTGATGCATTCGGAACAAGCTTGCATTCGGAAGCAAGCTTCTTCCCAGCGCATGACGCCTTCGTTACCCTACACGAACAGGCTCTCGCTGTGAGGAGCTTGCATTTGCCGTGTATCGCAGTCATTCGGAACATACCCTGAATGTCGATATGATTTGTTTCATGAAAGTTTGGCAGGACAAATGGAAAAGTGCGCCAACTAAACTCAACCTTGGATCATTAGAATATCAGATCATGATCGATGATTATGTCATATTTTATGATAAAGAATTAGAAATGATTTTTCTAATAAGCGAGATAATCTGACTACCACCAGACATAGGATTAACCTGGCGGTGGGTTCATTGAAGTGGGATTGTATTTGAAGGGATGTATGGGATTTACTGGCATGTTTATGAACATTTTATAATAAAATATAAAGTACTTTTTCATTTTGTCTTTTCGGGGAGGGCCGTGCAAAATTTGTACAAGGACCTGCATGGAGAGAATCATTTAAAAATGTTATAAATAATGTTCTTTTGTAGCTTTTTTTTACAAAGCAGTAAGTAACAAATATACATTGCAGCCAACTCCACCCCTTCGTGTTTCAGACTCATAACTCTTTAAAAACTAAACTTCCCAAGGAGAGATTTAGCTATCTTCAAAGGTAAATGGTTTGCGGACAAGTGATATTCACTTTCCACGTTAATATGTAATTTGCCCTCTGACGGAGCTTGTGAAGGCCGGTGCAAACATCTTATCCATATTAGTGAATGTAGTATTTAGGCACATCAACTGAATTAAACTTATGATAGCAGTTTATCATATATGTTATGGGTGGAGTAGATCATTACCTAACTACTGTTTTCTTGACCCGCATAAGCATTTCGCTAAGCATTTCGCCAAAGCTGAGTTATTGTTCTTAGTGGATGGTCCAACATTCTACTACTACTACTACTACTACTACTACTACTACTACTACTACTACTACTACTACTACTACTACTGATTGTTGAACTACCCAAGGCCTCACAGCTTCCCAACTTAAAAGTATATCTTGAAAAGATTATGTACGACATTTGACAAAAATGCTCACAAGGGTCCGTCATGAAGAATATTGATACATGCAACCCGAATGAACCTCAATTTGGCATTTCAACTTAGACTACTTATTGTTCCCTTATTATGCTTATCGATGGCACTGACTGAGGCAGGTGACCGATGCCCTACTGTGCAAACTGCTACATCAGGGGAGGAGAATTGATTATACACGAGCGCCGGATGTTTTGCATAATGTAGTGTTACCGGGTACTGCAAGTGTGTATAGTACCGAGGCACTTCTGTTGGCGTTGAGGACAAAAACATTAAGAACAGAGTATCGTCAAGAAACCCCTACGTATGTTTCATTTGTATCGTTAACTATATCTCTGAGTTGGTCTCTTGTTTTGTTCCCTGTCGCGCCTGGTATGCAACAGACAGATATGTTTGGAGTTTGCCTTGAAGGAAAATGCGTGTTTATCGGTTGTTTAATATACATTCAGTAAGCTTTGCTATATTCCCGACACAATCTTTTAAAATACCAGATACCCTTTACCAATAATGGTCTCTGAAAATAACAGTCAGATCCTAATTGACTGTTAAAGGACATTACTGGTAATACAAGTAGAAATTTACAACTCGTCACAAATGAACACCCGAATGTGCAGCGCAGTTAGGTCCCCAGTGGACCTAGTGAGCTAATGCTCCGCGATGCCCTCTGATGGGTTGCGTCCCTTAGTCGTGCAATGATTCCAGTGTCACACTGATTTAATCCTAGGTTTATCATCACTAAACCAAAGTGCCAAAGTGGTGTCCGGCACACATGACTTTCCAACTCAATCGCATCCTAAAATGGGGACCGTGGTCAGAATCTTTGAGTTACGAGTTGATTATGTGTCTAAGTACCCAGATAGCATGGAGCGTTGTTCAGACTTCATGTCAGTGACAGCCTGCCCCAGACTCTTGACATGCCTCCGTGTACACTTATCCCAATCCGCCTGGGCAGTATATATACTTATGAAGTTGTGCACTTCCTGACACTACTGCGCAATTCAGTTCTCTTATCTTGTCGACTTACAGACTTGCCAAAAAGGACTTCTTTGCCAAACAGCCAGCGGTTTTAAACAACACTCTTTTTCTCGTCATTTTGAATATGAACGTTCCACTGTTCCTTTCATTTGAAAAATATATCACCTTAGTTTATCCCTTAGTTCCCAATTTAATCATCGAACAATATATCGATTTTCCCGAGTGGAGATTCCTGGAGGGAATAGGTTCCCAGCAACCAAAGCTTGTCATAAGAGATGACCAAATAGATCGGATGGCCAGGCTCGGTGACCAATGCTTGTCATAAGAGATGACCAAATATGTCGGGTGGTCACGCTCGGTGACCAAAGCTTGTCATAAGAGATGACCAAATAGATCGGATGGCCAGGCTCGGTGACCAATGCTTGTCATAAGAGATGACCAAATATGTCGGGTGGTCAAGCTCGGTGACCAAAGCTTGTCATAAGAGATGACCAAATAGACCACGTAGGTCGACCACGTGTGACGTCACATGCAGAGGATCGTCAGATTGTCTTATGTCACCTCCGTAACCGATTTTGTCATGGTGTGGGGTGCTTTTTGTGGCAATGCACGTTCAAGGCTTCTTGTCATCCGTGGCAACCTCAACGCTGCTGCTTACCGCGACCAGGTACTGGCACCAGAACCTCTGCCTTTTATGGCAGCACAAGGGCCCGGTTTGATCTTCCGACACGACAATGCCAGACCCCACACAGCAATTTTGACAAGGAATTTCCTTCAGAATGCGGGAGTCAACGTCATGGACAGGCCGTCAAGGTCTCTTGGATGCTCTTGCCAGAAGTCTGCGCACTCTCCAGAACCAACCACAGAATTTGCAAGATCTTGGCACCATTTTGCAGCAACAATGGCGTCGTCTTCCCAATCATGTGTTCACAAGCATCACAAGGTCCATGCGGAGGCGTTGTGTGGCAGTTGTCAACGCACATGGTGGTCATACACGCTACTGAACTTGTGTGCCATCAGATTCTCGTGCTTGGGACTTATGATTTAAACTGTTGATGTTATTACCGAATAACGTAGGTGCTTGGAACAAATTATGGCTACCACCGTTAATTAAAATCCTTCTTTGGACATTAATGATTAAAAATTACCTTCTCTGATACATTTGTCCGTTGTATATCATATATGGGATTACTTTTAAAAATGTGAAGTTTTTAATTTGACTCAGTATATAACAAATCAAATATCGTGAATTTACGTGAATACTGATTTAAGATCGCCAGAAATCGCATGATAGTTACAATATACATTAAAAGGACTGATAATAGGCGTATTACTACATATTGTGTAGCTGACAACACCTTGATTATCATAGGTTGTTCCCTATGCTGCACAGATACAATGTGTACAGAAAACATGTCAACACAACAACTCTTGCCAAATGTTTTCCTATGACCACTGGTCTAACGTGCAAGTGCCATAGTTTCCTACACAGAGTAGACCGTGACCTGGCATCATCAAATAGCAATACAGTCTAACTAACCATCGCTAATAGATAGGAGCGGAAAACACAAATAGAAAGCCGATATAATAGTGATTAATAAGCCCTGTGCGGGTATTGATCTGGAGTGAATATTTGATGGCCTATTAACCCCTGGTGAAACGTGGATCGATACACCTGCCACAGCCTCCCCGCACTGTCACTGGCTCCCGACACACTCCGCCAACTTGCTGTCAGCATGCCAAGATTGCAAGTTGTAAACTATTATTGATAAATGTATATCCGACACACACTGTTAAGTAAAATAATATATCTCTATAAATACATAACTGGGCATGTTTACTGTGTGTGCATGAATAAAGATCACGAGTATTTGAGACACTTTAATCGTATAGATGTCTTTAGTCACATCGGAGAACTCCATATGAAGGGTGTTTATCATCTTCCCGAGACAAGAGAGTTAACTGACTATTAAAGTCCAGTTTCCACCCTAGGCTGGTATTATGGAGTTACATTTTGGCTGGACTAACGAGTCTATGCATAGTCCAATCAAAATCGCGCACCGAAATCGAAATCCGGTTCGTAAACTGTCGTGCATATTTCGGTCGATTGCAAGATTTGCAAAGCATGTGCATCACCAACTCGTTGTCAGCAGATATTTTCCAAATCTTTTCATGTTTTTGATGAAGGTGCTCATGTGATTTGATGCATTTCGCGATGTAAGACCCCTTTTGTCACAACATAGATCTTGATCATCGATCAGATTGTCCTGACCCGGCGCCACCATTTTGTGTGAAGCAAACACAACTGATACGAGAGGTGGAATCTGATTGGTCCATAAGAGAGGCTTAGAAGTTACATAACTGGAAACTGGAAACTGGACTTTTAAAGTCATTTAACTCTCTTGCCTCGGGAAGATGGGTGTTTATCGGGCTCAGCTGTTAAAGTGGATTCGGTGGACACTATGGCTGTTTTTTTCCACAACCAGGAATTTGAATTGGTGATTGTCATCGTTTTCCCACCGCATTCGTCGTTAAGCAATGACCCTATTTAATTTCACTCTCCGAAAAAAGGTAACAATACATTTCGTTTATAGAAAGTATTTCTTACTGCACTGTTCCGTGAAAATAAAGTCTCCACGTCCTTTTTCACCAATAAAGTGTCACAAAACTTGTTTAGTGTCTTTGATAGGGTTAACCTTTGGCATGTGCATGATTCGCGGTTTTCAACGCCACGGATATTGGGACGACTTGAAGCTGGTGAATCACAAGCATCAAGGGCAAGTAACCGTACCCCCAGCGAACGTTGGGCTTCAACCGTTTACTTCCACATCAGTGATCCTTCTGGTCATCCATGTTTTTGTTAGTTGTTTGTCACTCTCAATATCTATTTCATAAATCTAAATATGAAACAGATAAAGTGGTTTCATAGGTCTGTTGTAAGTCTAGTTCAAGTGGGTAAACTAGTGGAAGGAACTTGGCCATTTGACCGTAATTGAACGCCATCAGATCATCCATATACCTGAAGCTAAAGTTCAACTTCTTGGCCAAATTCCCTGGTTTTGCTTTTGCCAATCCGATCAGAAATTTCGATTTATATGCGCAAAGAAACACATCAGGGAGAAAGGGAGAAAATTGGTGCCCATGGAGATGCCTACTCCTTCATGAATGTCTTTTCTCAAAGTTACACATTGATGTTACCAACGAGGAAATCCATCATTTCACATATTGTTTTCTCAGTTAAATTCAGATACTTTCAAGTTTAAACGTTTTGAGAATCCTCATGGTAATGATGGTATTAATTCCTGACATATCTTCAGGTTTTTGAGTCAAGTCAAAAGTTGTTAGTACTGAAGCGCGGTTTTCCCCGATTTCTTCCTCTATTAACATAACGGTCTTATATGTTACATTGTTTAATATGTCACTTATACCAAGTTCCTTGATAAAATAATCAAGTAGTGATGTGTATTTATAATGGTTATGTTGTTTGAGGCCCTGTCAGAAGGAACAACTACTAATTATGCAAGTAGGACAGCCAGACCTTGGATGACAGCTGGCTGGGACAGACATAATGTATTCTAATTCTGTTTCCTCTTTTTCAGTTTGTGCATTCCACCAATGACAACATCACGTACTGACTTACCCACTGGGAATGTCATTCAACAGGTTCCTCTTTTGGCCCAATTTTGAGCATATCATAACCACATACCCATGTGAAAAACAGCAGGTGCAAGATAAGTGTCACAACCAGTTTCAGAACTACATAAAAGGACACTCGTTGCTACCATATCGTGTAGCTGCTACTGTTTGCGTTACAAATCCCTGTGTCTCAAATATCATTCTTGCACTCACAGATCTTGACTTTTAGAATTGTTAACTTGCATTTGATAACAGTAATGTATTAAATGCAACAACACGTTCCTAACGTTTTGCAGGTTGTTTGTGTATCATTATAACCTGATACAAACATACTAATTTTGAATGGTAAAAGAGAGTTATATTTACACAATCCGACGTGCCGTGAAAAGGTCCCCTAAAGATGTCGAAGGTTGTTAGGAATGAGATCTAGATACGTTTACACTAAATTTGATTATGGGTAAAAAAGAGAATAAACATTATGAATATTATGGTTTATCTTTCCCTCGGGATTACATAAGGAAGCTGGACAGAGCCTACTGATGGTCGACCCTTCGTCGCTGCACGACCAAACCGCAAAAGAGCGTACAGAGAATGGGAAAACAGCCTTGCTCGACTACAAGACCAACTTCGATAAGCAGAAAAAAACTCCACCAGATACCATGGATGCTGTTGACCACCTACTTCGCCATCAGTAGATCTAGACTAGTTGTTGTTGTGTTTAAGAGGTCGCCTTCTGCCTTAGCAATTCCGGCTGATCTGTCCCTCTTTGGGACTGATGTGTGTGAGTATAGGGTACACATACCATTGTGAATTTTAGTATGGATAAGATTTCTGATAAGATTTCTTTTTTAATATTAATATGATTTCATTTTGGATTTTTAGAATTGACAGAATTTCTTTGGCCATTTTGGGGCTAAGGGGGCTTTGCTTTTTTATCTCTAGATTTCTGAAGGGAATAGGCTGTATCTCCGCTTTGTCTAGAGCTAGCTTCGCCAGTGTGTCTGCTTGTTAATTACCGTGAATATCTATGTGAAATGAAATCCAACACAGATCCACCTGTTTTTCTTGGTCCGACCGTTCCTGATTGACTGCCACTTCTGGATTCGGCCCTGGACGCAACTGTGGAGTTTTCATGTAACGTCATGTAATATATCGAGGATTGTGTCAAGTAAACGTGCATCGTTTCGTTACAGCACTATTGAAAACAACTATGATCGACATATATTATGAGATCTTGAGAAATTGTTTAAACAAATGTCAACAGCAGAGAAATAATCCGCCAATTTGCACATCTTTCTGTATGGTTTAGGAGTATTGTCCGACATATAGTATTTCATGTCACATGACAGCCCCAGGGTTAGTACAGAGCCGCGACAAGGAGAGACCTGCCTACTGTTGCGGTTAGTTAGTCACGTATTTAATCCTTATCTTTAGATTATTGTGCTCTGGTTGGCCCACCCTTTTATTAAACAGCGACCTTGTAATGAGATTAGTGATTAGTAGGACCGAAGTGTATTACTGTATCGACGTTAGTGGCACACTAGGGATGTGGCTCGTTCACAAACACTAACTTGCCGGTTATTTGGGGTCCAAGAACGTCGCACCAGGGGAAACATTGCTGGAGTTAAGAAGCAATGGATCTTCTGTCACAATATGGATGTAATTCGGCACGGACACGGTCGCCATGGCAGACACTGGCACTAGCTTCAAAAACAGCTAGAGTATGGAAGAGCAGGAAGACATTTTCACTGATTGAAGTTCATAAAACACCCGAACCTTATGGTAAATATGTTTGTATTATTTAAGTCATCTCTTGTAGACTTGTACCAGTTTACACAGCACCTGCAGTTTACGCTCTTAATCGCACATCCGACATACCAATACATTGTCGTATGGTAATTGATCTATTTATACTGAGCGGCAAGGCGACTGATTTACAAATATACCATTTACCGCCAACCCCTCCACTTCCCCATATATCAGTTACAACCATGACCATCTTTGCGTCATGTTGATACTGTCGTTTACTGTTGTTTCTGCTGGTTGAGGAGTCATTTGATATTATTGGAGGCGGAAGATGGAAATACTGGAACATGGCAACGTGTAACACACAGTATCACAGGTACTTGCATGTAGGGCAACACCATTCACAACAGTTTCCTGCATAGCAACTGTCAAGTAGGAAACAATTATACACTGCATGCTCGTAAGGCTTCGGCGAATACACGACAAGGTGGTATCAGCCATGTAATATTCAGCTACGTTCCTAATAATCGTATTCAGACTGGAGCAAGCAGACCAAAAGCAAAAATGTGTAACAGTCAACCAGATTGTACCAGTCACGTGACAGTTGATACCGATACTGATACCGCTGTACTGATGTCGACCCGAGTCGAGAAAATATATGAAATGAAGAGAAAATATTCAAAGTAATAAGAAAAAAACTCGAAATTAAAAGTTTAAAAAAATAAATAAACGTTTAATATGCTAAATCTTCAGCCTGCTTAATTGTTGCCACACGTCTAAGCCTTCTTGAGTAATAAGATCTATAGCATAAGGCGCAGTAAACAGGGTGTATCATTTCAAACATTTGAGGCTTATATAAACTTACAGTTAAACCAATATTTTGCACATTATGTAAGAAAACCCTCAACTTTAAGGACATGTGCCTCTTCACTTAACATAATATTCAGGTGCAGCGGAGAAAACTGAAACAAACTATAGAATATTCATTGACATCTAAAAATACCGTACAACTGGTGTGTTGACAGCTTCGAGACGGAAATAGTGGAGCTCAGTCACCCGGTTATTGTGAACTGGTAGAGCACTGTGTATGTTTAGTGCACAGTTCTAGGGATACCGACCATGTATCAAACTACAGATACATGTGATAACACAGGTAAATGACAAGATTGTGTGTTGTATAGACTAGTAGACTACACAGTACATGTCTCAAACTCACAACTACCTCAACTACTTAACTGTGTTGTCTCAAGTGTCAGTATCTCGATCGTTTGTACTAGACGCATTTGCATGAATGTTTAGTCTATTTACTTCATTTAGACTATTATATATTGGTTGATAGATACTGTTTTACGTTGAGATATTTTAACTGGAACTGGAAATGGGAATGGGAAACATTTATTATTTCTCTATGTATAATATAGGTATGTACAGTTCTGTAAACAATCATTACTCTTACCTATCAAAATGTTGAACTTGTTGATTCAAAATATAAATATAAGTAATTTATGTGGAGGGAAATTGATTTCATATGTTTAAGATCATATATATTTTATTATCGTATATTACATTTGCTATTAGTTTACAGGATACATGTAGTCCAAACATATGTAGGGATAGTATTGTTTTTGTGTTGTTTAACACAGCCGTCAACAAAATTCCAGCTGTGTGTCACCAGCCATGCAGTATTTGTTCAAGCCTTGACCAGACAATTAAACCCATGGTTGATATTATGAACAATGTCCAACATGTCCCATCATTATAGGAAACACAGTCAACCAAGTCACCTAGCCTGACCATCTGATCCCTTTAGCTGCTTCCTATAACAACCACAGCTTGCTTGTGAACTGGACTAATCCGTTATAATGGTAGTTGAAAATATATTTTATGTTTTATAAAAATAGCTTAGAAGTTGATCTCACACACAGTAGATGTCATTTGATCTCACATATGCAGTAGATATAATTTGATATAACATATGCAATAGATGTCATTTGATCTCACATACATTTGAAATCATTTGATCTAACATACACAGTAGATATCATTTGATCTCACATATGCAGTAGATATCATTTGATCTAACATGTGCAATAGATGTCATTTGATCTCACATACATTTGAAATCATTTGATCTAACATACACAGTAGATGTCATTTGGTCTCACATACAGTAGATATCATTTGATCTCACATACAGTAGATATTATTTGATCTCACATACAGTAGGTATCATTTGATCTCACATACAGTAGATATCATTTGATCTCACATACAGTAGATCAGCGTTCAAAATACCTGCCTCCCCGACCGTCCGAGACGGGTTGATTTCAACTCGGGCTGCCAGATTTTCAAATCCCCCTGCCCGACGGTCGGGTTATATTTCATAGGTGAAAATATTCTAAATATTTGATATTTGAATATATGATAAGCATTAATTCACATGTAAAGATAAATGATAAAATGTAACCAAAAAGAAACCCTGTAAGCTTTTAGACAACCTAACATTTAGCGATGCGCTTATGCAACAAGCAATCAGTTTTCATATTTCTAATTAAATTATCCTGAGAAACATATGATTATAGTGGGCAGGCAGGTTTTGGTCAGGGCTGGCAAGTATTTCAGCTAGCCAGTCCTGTGAAATGTTTGGGAGTTTCATACCCTGAGTGGATATCATTTGATCTCACATACAGTAGATATCATTTGATCTCACATACAGTAGATATTATTTGATCTCACATACAGTAGATATCATTTGATCTCACATACAGTAGATATCATTTGATCTCACATACAGTAGATATCATTTGATCTCACATACAGTAGATATCATTTGATCTCACATACAGTAGATATCATTTGATCTCACATACAGTAGATATCATTTGATCTAACATATGCACATATGTACTCCAGTTGCAAAGTTAACAATCTACATAGGGACATCTTTATATAGACATGTTGTTGATATATAGAAAAAAACAATTATATATGAAGTAGACAAAATGTTGATGTTGTATGTTGATATATGTTGCAGAAACTTGTGATGGCAAGACACAATTGTTAATTTGTATTGTCAAAATGGGCTTAATCAGTACATGAAATATGCACTCGATGGCATGCAATGATTGCCGACCAATACTTCATAATCTGATTTAGCGATGGACACAGATGGCTTTCATTATAATGTTTGGATCTCATATCTATCTCAGGAAGTTTCTGTTCAATCTCATTAAAATCAGACCTTAGTTCTCGCTCCTGCAAAACAAAGATCTTAGGAAATATCATATCACTACAAACATAGAAATCTTATCAGAAATTTTATCAATGCTAAAAATTACAAGAGATATGTATACCCTACTCACTCTCATGAGTCCCAAAGAGGGACAGGTCAGATAAAATTGCTAAGGCAGAAGGCAACCACCTAAACACTTAATCAACAACAACTACAAATTCAACAAGGCCTAGCATCAGCAAACCTGTCCACACTTATCAACCCATACAAGCCACAAAGGTCACTTCCAGCAGAAGATTTACACCAACTGTACGTTCAACAAAATAAACTTTGAAGCTATGGATACAGACCATTCAGCACAACTGGCCCTCGTCCGTGTCAGACTGTCTACAACATTGGATGTTTTAAATCATAACTCTATACACATCATCTTTGTGAAACATGTGATGCGCATGAGGCAGGTACGTTGGTGGAGAAACTGTCCTGGGACACTATGCCACATACCACTTTTACGTTTCTGTCAAAGTTTTTCATGTAAGGGCCTCTGAATAGCCTAGCTGGATTGTTTTTGTTGAACTGCAGTGCATGGAACATGCTCTTAGTGTATGGAGGCTAAAGGAATATAAATATACAACATCTATTACACTTTGACATGATACTGGTGTATATCATTCACACTCTAGAGTTATATACTGAAGAAAGTATCAGTATCATAGTTTTGTAAGATCTCACCTTGAACACTTTAATTGCAATGATTATTTGTTCTGGCACTTGTGCCTGATGTAGGGTTGTAGCTGTGCTGGCGTGAGGGAGGTGGTTGTTTGTAAAGCTCTGGCACTTGTGCCTGATGTAGGGTTGTAGCTATGCTAGCGTGAGGGAGGTGGTTGTTTGTAAAGCTCTGGCATTTGTGCCTGATGTAGGGTTGTAGCTGTGCTTGTGTGAGGGATGTGTTGGTTTGTTAAAGCTCTGACACTTGTGCCTGAAGTAGGGTTGTAGCTGTGGTGGCGTGAGGGAGGTGGTTGTTTGTTAAAGCTCTGGCACTTGTGCCTGATGTAGGGTTGTAGCTGTGCTGGTGTGAGGGAGGTGTTGGTTTGTTAAAGCTCTGGCACTTGTGCCTGATGTAGGGTTGTAGCTGTGCTGGTGTGAGGGAGGTGTTGGTTTGTTAAAGCTCTGGCACTTGTGCCTAATGTAGGGTTGTAGCTGTGGTGGCGTGAGGGAGGTGGTTGTTTGTTAAAGCTCTGACACTTGTGCCTGATGTAGGGTTGTAGCTGTGCTAGCATGAGGGAGGTGGTTGTTTGTTAAAGCTCTGGCACTTGTGCCTGATGTAGGGTTGTAGCTGTGCTAGCATGAGGGAGGTGGTTGTTTGTTAAAGCTCTGGCACTTGTGCCTGATGTAGGGTTGTAGCTGTGCTAGCATGAGGGAGGTGGTTGTTTGTTAAAGCTCTGGCACTTGTGCCTGATGTAGGGTTGTAGCTATGCTAGCGTGAGGGAGGTGTTGGTTTGTTAAAGCTCTGGCACTTGTGCCTGATGTAGGGTTGTAGCTGTGCTAGCATGAGGGAGGTGGTTGTTTGTTAAAGCTCTGACACTTGTGCCTGATGTAGGGTTGTAGCTATGCTGGCGTGAGGGAGGTGTTGGTTTGTTAAAGCTCTGGCACTTGTGCCTGATGTAGGGTTGTAGCTGTGCTAGCATGAGGGAGGTGGTTGTTTGTTAAAGCTCTGGCACTTGTGCCTGATGTAGGGTTGTAGCTATGCTGGCGTGAGGGAGGTGTTGGTTTGTTAAAGCTCTGACACTTGTGCCTGATGTAG